GACACATGTATCCCTCGACGGCCGTGTTGTCAGTAAGCTAGAAGCGGCCCATTGCCCTCCAAATGGGAAAAAAAAAGAGAAAAACCACCAAAAAAAAAAAAAAAAAAAAAAAAATTGCAGGGGCCGGGCAGTGGCTCATGCCTGTAATCCCAGCACTCTGGGAGGCTGGGATGGGAGGCCAGGAACTCAAGACCAGCCTGGCCAACGTGGTGAAACCCCATCTCTACTAAAAAATACAAAAATTAGCCAGGCATGGTGGCACGTACCTGTAGTCCCAGCTACTCAGGGGGCCGAGGCAGAATTGCTTAAACTAAGGAGGTGGAGGCTGCAGTGAGCCAAGATGGCATCACTGCACTCCAGCCTGGGCAACAGAGTGAAACTCCATCACTCTGTCTCAAAAAAATAAATAAATAAAATAAAATAAAAGAATCTGTGTAATGTTTGTTTCCCTTACAAGTCTGGAAGATCCAATGAGGTAGAAGCCATGTCTATATATTGTTTCTTTTTCTTTTTTTTTTTTTTTGAGATGAAGTCTCATTCTGTCACCCAGGCTGGAGTACAGTGGTGCCATCTTGGCTCACTACAACCTCCACCTCCTGGGTTCAAGTGATTCTCCTGGCTCAGCCTCCCGAGTAGCTGGGATTATAAGCACATGCCACCACACCAGGTTACTTTTTGTATTTTCAGTAAAGATGGGGTTTTGCCGTGTTAGCCAGCATGGTCTTGAACTCCTGACCTCAGGTGATCTACCTGCCTCAGCCTCCCAAAGTGCTGGGATTACAGGCGTAAGTCACTATACCTGGCCTATACATTATTTCTTGCTGTAACCCTAGCACCTACCACAGTGCTAAAACATACTAAGTATTCTAATAATAATTGTTGAATACATGCATGAACAAGGAAAACTAATCTCACAAGCTATATTTATTTCTTCTTTGTTTCTAGTTATTCTTAATTTCTTACCAATAATTTCTAATTTTTCACTCTTTTATCAACACGGTTTTTGTTGCTAGAGTTCCTGTCCTTTATTCACTTTATCTTTCAATCATTTATGGAAAAACTAAGCTATTCTACTTTGTTTTTTTTCCTTTGTTTCCACAAACACTGTTTTTACCAAGTTTTCACTAGTAGCTTCTTTTTTATTGTTCCTGGAATGCGGGGGAGTCCAAATGGGGGTTCTAACAGATTTGCTTTAGGTTCCATTAGCTTTGTTTCAGAAAGAACAGTGTTATGGAAAGAAAGTATTGTGATTTGATAGCTCAGACTCTGAGTGAGCTTCCTCCTCTACAAAATACCACCTAGCCCAATGGTGTGTGAAAGCACCTTGTAAAAAGTAATGGGGATAAATGCACAGATTAGTAATAACAAAGTGTTGCTGTTTACCTTGCTTCTTTGAGTCAGAAGAAGTCCTGCACAGCCATTCACTGCAGTTTTTTTTTTTTGCTCATACCTGTTTAGTTGGCAGAGTTGGAAATGTCCTCACATAAAGCCAGAATCTGTCTTTTAGATATCTTGACCCACTCTTAAAAGTCTGTGGTCTTGAAAATATCTAACCCACTTTTTGTTTTACCTCCTAAGGTCACACAGGGAGAATGTGACCCTCTGCCAAATGAGAGTCTATTATTAAACACGGGGTAACAGCCCCGAGTCTTTGCTTCTCCAGAATAAACATCTTCGGGTTCTTTAAGTATGTCTCAAATAGCATGGTTTCAAGTTTCCTCACTATTTTATATCTCAGATTATGTGGCCAGGAATGAATTCTGGCTGGTCTGCTTTACAACTTAAAATGTGGGGACCAGAATGGAACATAATACTCAGGTGAGGTCACAGATTCAGATTCTCCTAGGTTATACTTGCTCCATGACTTTCTCACCTGTGCTGCTGTCCAAACACATTTCCCATGCTATCCTCATAAGCTGGCTTTTTTGGACACATACAATTATTCAGTTAGTCCTGTCACATCGGATAAATTCAGCCTATTATTCTATGGTGAAGCTTAGAGTGTTGTTTCTTCTAGTAAATCTCTCTAGTTTGATTTCCATGCTAACTTGTTCAGGATGCCATCAAGTCCTCACTGAATTCCAAACAGAACAAAGGCAAGGTAAGCATACATACATTCACTCAACAAATTTATAAAAAGCCTGGTACATCCTAGGCACTGGGCTAGGTCCTAAGGATACAATGAAAAGCAAAAACTTGCATTCCCTGCTTTCATAAAACTTACTCTATAATGAAGGACAAAAAGATCAATCAAATAATCATTCTAACTATTGTATTATTACAAACCAAGTAAGTGCTCCAAAGGATAAGAATGTGGTTCCACAAAAACAAGTAATAGCCAGGTGCGGTGGCTCATGCCTGCAATCCCAGCACTATGGGAGACCAAAGAGGGTGGATCACCTGAGCCTTAGGAGTTTGAGACTAGCCTGGGCAACAGGGCAAAATCTTCTCTCTACAAAAAATTACTAAAATTATTTCTAATTTGGGTGTGGTGTCATGTGGCTGTAGTCCCAGATACTCAGAGGGCTAAGTTGGGAGAATCACCTGAGCTCAGGGAGGTTGAGGCTTCAGTGAGCCATGATTGTACCACAGCACTCCAGCCTGGGTGACAGAGCAAGACTCCATCTCAAAAAAAAAAAAAAAAAGAAAAAAAAAGAAAAGCGTTGATGGGCTCCAGAATCTACATTTTAACAAGGTCTCCAAGTGATTCTTCTACATTAACATTTAAGAATCCCTGAATTAGGCTGGGTGTGATGGCTCATGCCTGTAATCCCAGCACTTTGGGAAGCCAAGGCAGGTGGATCACCTGAACTTAGGAGTTTGCGACCAGCTTGGGCAACGTGGTGAAACCCCACCTCTACAAAAATTAGCCGGGCTTCATGGGGGGTGCCTGTAATCCTAGCTACTTGGGAGGCTGAGGCAGGAGAATCACTTGAGCCTGGGAGATGGAGGCTGCAGTGAGCTGAGATTATGCCACTGCACTCCAGCCTGGGTGAGAGTGAGACTCAGTCTCAAAATAAATAAATAAGAATCCCTGAATTAGTTCTCAGAGCATCCACACTCACACGGAGTTTCACATCCTCAATATTAATCTCCCTTGAGTCTGAAGTTCATGACTCTCAGTAGTCTGGTAAGGAAGACAAAGTAGAGTTTTGGAGTCAGAGACCTGGGTTCAAATCTGGTTCTATCATTTGCTATCTAGGTAACTTTGTACAAATTACTTAATTTTTCCAAGCCTCAGTTTCTTCGTTGATAGCATGTGGATAAAAATCTTCATAGGCCAGATGTGGTGGCTCATGTCTATAATCCCAGCACTTTGGGATGCCGAGGCGGGCAGATCACGAGGTCAAGAGATCGACACCATCCTGGCCAACGTGATGAAACCCTGTCTCTACTAAAAATACAAAAATTAGTTGGGCGTGGTGACGTGAGCTTGTAGTCCTAGCTACTTGGGAGGCTGAGGCAGGAGAACCGCTTGAACCTGGGAGGCGGAGGTTGCAGTGAGCCGAGATGGTGACACTGCACTCCAGCCTGGTGACAGAGCAGGACTCCATCTCAAAAAAATAAATAAATAAAAGGAATATCTTCATAGGAATGTTGTAGCAATTAAACGGGAGAGGAAGGCTATCATTGTCTGGAACATTTATTGAGGCCTACATACCATTTATATCAAGATAAATAAAACATTACCAGGCACTGTGCTACATACCATATATACCAGGATAAATGAAGCATGGTCCATCTCATTAATCTGTTGCTTTTCTTGTACCTGTCCCTTTGTGATAAAGGTCTGATTTTTTTTTAAGTCTTTTCTAACCCTTGTGCTGTCTTCTGTTAACACACTCCCACAAAATAATGTGGATTATTTCCCCTCCTGAACTGGCTAAAATCTCCCTGCCACTATACGTCAAAGCCCTGAGCCTCCAGCATGGCCTCAAGCTGCTCTTCTCCAGCCTTTTCTTTCACCAATCCCCCTTCAGTTAAAAGCACATATTCTAGTGTTAGAGCTCCTAGGATCAAATACTGGTTCCATTGATTATTAACTATATGGCTTTGGCAGAGATTTACACTCTCTATGCCTCAGTTTCCTTGTCTGTGAAACAGGGATAATAAAAGTGCTTATTTTAGGATAATTTCTGAGTATCAGATGATACTCAGTAAGCATTCAGTAAGTGTTAGCTATTCTCATTGTCACACTGCATCCACACTGGGAGTTGCTTCCTCTTAGTTCTCTGAAGGCTCCAATGGGCTTCTTCTCACCTGAAGATCTCACCATTCCCTTTGCCTGCAATGCTCTCTGCCTCTTCTTTTAGATAACTTCTACCTGTTCGTCAGGTTTCAGCTTAAATGTCATTCTTTTGAGTCTCCTGATCCACAACCCCTTGTCTTGCCACTTCTTTTTTGTTTTTTGTTTTTTTTTGAGACGGAGTTTCACTCTTGTAGCCCAGTCTAGAGTGCAACGGCGCGTTCTCAGCTCACAGCAACCTCCGCCTCCCAGGTTCAAGCGATTCTTCTGCCTCAGCCTCCTGACTAGCTGGGATTGCAGGCATGCACCACCATGTATGGCTAATTTTTGTATTTTTAGTAGAGACGGTGTGGGTGGGTGTATTTCACCATGTTGTCCAGGATGTTCTCAATCTCTTGACTTCGTGATCCACCCACCTCGGCCTCCCAAAGTGTTGGGATTACAGGTCTGAGCCACCACGACCGGCCCCGACTTCTTTACAAGGTAGGTTAAGAATCCCTGTTAAGCACCCTAATTCACTCCTTTACAGCACTTATTAATCTAATTCAATCCTTGTTTACTCCATAAAGATAGGGAGCATGTCTGTCTTACACTGCTCTGTATCCACCTTGATACTTGGCACAATTCTGACTCCATAGAAGCACTTGTAAAAAAAATATTTCAAGTGTGTGATGAATGAATGACTTTCTAAATCTGACTATGCCCAATCGTTCTCTCTTGGGATCCTAACAGCCTCTAAAAATCAATCACTTTATAACACCCAGGGATAGAACTCTTCAATCTCTTTACCTTCTGATAAAATTTTCAGAAATGCAAATCAGGAACTTAAAAAATGCTTAACTTTTGGCTGGATGAGACTCCCAGGATTGTGTGTCTTGACTTGAAATTACTTTAGATCTGCAATGCTCTATATAGTAAAGAGTACCATATGGGGCTACTGAGCACTTACAATGTTGCTAGACCAAAATGGGATGTGCTGTAAGTGTAAAATACAACACTAGATTTTAAAGACTTAGTATAAAAAAGAAGTTAACTATCTCATAATGTTTTGCATTTTATTACATTTTGAAAATGGGAGTTTTGGGTTAAATATGTAATTAAAATTCATTTGTTTTTTATTTTGTATGTGGCTATGAGAAAACTTAATATTACACATGTGGCTTGCATTAGATTTCTACAGGATGGTGCCATTCTAGACTATCTGCCTAAAAGATATGTTGTATTTCCCCACAACAGCCCTCCACTTCCTTTCACTTTAATATATAATGAAACACTCTGAATTGTTTCGTGGTTTTCCTGTATTACTATTTCTGATTGATTTTGATATTTGATACATGGGCTATTCTACCACCTCTGTGAACATGACTGATTATTTTAAATAAGGCATGGTTTCCTACTATCCTATTCAATGTTGGGTCTTACTACACCAAATCCCAGTGAACTGGAGATTTACCATTCTGCAGTCACTTTACTATTTATACTATAAACAATATGGTTAAGAATACAAAGACTGGAGCCTGGCCAACTGTTTTGGAGTCCAATACTTAATAGCTGTGTAACTTTGTTACTCTTTTTATTTTTCTCAGAGGGAGTTTTGCTCTTGTTGCCCAGACTGAGTGCAATGGCACCTTCTTGGCTCACTGCAACCTCCACTCCCTCAGCCTCCCGAGTAGCTGGGATTACAGGCATGTGCCACCATGCCTAGCTAATTTTGTATTTTTAGTAGAGATGGGGTTTCTCGATGTTGGTCAGGCTGGTCTCTAACTCCTGACCTCAGGTGATTCACCGGCCTCAGCCTCCCAAAGTGCTGGGATTACAGATGTAAGCCACTGCACCCCACCTACTTTGCTACTCTTAATATCTCTGTGCCTCAGTTCCTAAACTAAAAAAAGGAGATAACAGTGTTCACTTCATAGGGCTGAATGGATTAACTGACATTGCTAAAGCACTTAGAATGGTGCCAAGCATGCAGTAAGTATGCAGTAATGAATACTATTTGTATCATTATACACATCCCTCACCCTTACCACCTACTAATATATTGGTACCTTTCCTAGTGGTGGTGTCTTATCCAAATCTGAGATTTTAAGCTCAGATCTTCTAACTCCAAACCGCTACTCCCTGGATGAGTGGCATTTGAGTAAGGTACTTAATCTTTCTCATTTTTCAGTTTTCTCCTCTACAAGAATGCCATCTTCCTTGTGCAAGTCTGAATGACACAACATATATAAGTTTCATTGCATGTTCCTTAGCATCTCACGAATACCTCATATCTCTTTTCTGGTTCATCACATGTGATCCTCACAACACACTATATATTTTATAAAGAAGGAAACAGGATCCGGGAAGACTCGCAGGAGGTTGCACAAATAACTACGTGACAGCGCCAATATTGGAACGAGGTCTCAGTCCGACTCAAATGTTTTTTTCATGAAACTAAAGCAGCTTTTCTAAAAGCATGAGCCCCAGAACTAAATGAATTCAAGCTGTTTATGGCATTCCAATGCTTAAAGAAATGCAAAAACCGGCAAAGTCAATCTACTGCCGCGTTGCCCATTGAAACTGCAACAGAAAATCAAAATACAAGTTTTGTTAATACCACTATCATTAGGTCAAAGAGTGGACGACGCGGATGACATTTCAGTAAACAAAACAAAGCTAAGAGTTACTCCTTTAGCTCCCTGAGGAAACTGCAGACCGCGTTCCATGGTCCGCAGGGTTCCACAGTCGGGCCTTTGGGGCTGGGCAGGCCCCAGCCAAGGTTACGCAGCCCGGCCACCCCACAAACCCAGAGGAGGCCAATGCCACGCCTGCCCGCCGGACCCTCCCCCTCGGATCTCGGGGCCCAGTGCTGCGCCCCTCTGCCCCTCACCTCCGGCTCGGGGCGCTCCGAGGCCATCACACAGCCCTCCCGCGCCGGCCCGGGCCAGCGAGGTTCTCTCTCTTGACCCCTGACCTGGCTACCTCGGCACCCAGCAGGAACCGGAAGTGGGTGGGAGGGCCGAATTCCAGTTTTCTGATTGGTGGAGAAGCCTTCTCAGAGGCGTTTCATCGAAGGGAAAACCGGAAGTGGAAATCGTAGCCGCCGCCTCGGCCGCCGCAATGCAGGTGAGAGCCAGGTTGGGCCTATTAGCGGCTGGCCAGCTTCGGGTACAAGGACCGAGAGTGGGCTGGCTAAGGAGAATGAAGAGTTGGGACTGAGAAGAGAGGGCAGTACCTGCGGCTGATAAGGAAATGTGGGTTAGGGGGCGAGGCTAATTGGAGAGGGAGCGGCGCAGTTGAGAGGTGGGGGTGGAGCTCGCCTGATAGGAGATGGTCTGGCTAAATCTGGAGGAAGGAGGCAGCACCTATTTGCTTGGCGTGGGAAAGGATTAGGTTGTATTACGGGGAGGCTGAGATGCAGTCCAAGGGAGACGGCTCAAGAAGGTGGTGGGTTGGCTCAGGCCCTGTCCTAGGCTGCTGGATGGAGGCGGTTGGATGCTGATATAGCAGGGGATCTAACTGGAGACAAGCCCAAGCAGTGAGGGAATTGTGGGCTGCGGTGGCCGAAAGCTAAGCAGTTTATAATCCGAGGCCACGGTGGAACCCAGGATCAAGTTCCTGTCAGGTACTTTAGCAGGTTTGCAAGACAGTTTTGCATCACTCTTCCCAGCCTGTGCCCTGCAGTTGTTAAGGGTGAAGAAATGGAGTAAAACAGGAGACCACCGATGGGAAGGAAATGCTTTACAGACCCCCAGTATTTTGTTTGTCCAGTGCTTAGGAGCATGTGTGGTTTTTGTTTTTCATTTGTCAGTTTCTTGCAGCCGGTTGTCTCAATAAATGTTAATGGGTTGACCGAGCTTGTGAAAGAGGCACGGGAATATTGACGCAGAGATAGATGAGTGCACATTAATTCAGCAAGGAGAAGGTTGAAATGTAAAATGCTGAGAGCAGATGGAAAGGTGGAGTGGTTGGTTGGGGGAGGAAAAGGGGAGAGCAGGGCTGGTATTCAGAGAAGTCTTCATGAGTAGGCCGATTTTGCAGAAACTGACAAGACAGCCAGGCTCACAGATGCTAGGACGGAGGAAACTGGAGTACATGTGCTACAAAGGTGCACATGAGATAATGATCTGGCATTAGGGTCTCTCAAAAATGTCTCAGTGAGGGAGAGGAGGGTGTACCTAATACAGAGAAAAACTAAGCATAGATTAGGAGGAGACGGGAAGAAGGAATCAGTTGGTGGGAGGACTTGGGGTCAGGCAAACAGGTTGAAAGGTCTCAGGGCTGATGCTGTCTGTAACCCAAATACCAAAGATAGAAAACAACCTGGCTATCCTATGCCAGTGAGCTCCTGTGTTGCACACCATCTCCTTGGCTTTTCAGCCCCTCTTTCTGTGTGTCATACTCATTTATCTGTGTAACCAACCTGTTCCTATTGGTGCAGAGGGAGGAGAAGCAGCTTGAGGCATCATTAGATGCACTGCTGAGTCAAGTGGCTGATCTGAAGAACTCATTGGGGAGTTTCATTTACAAGTTGGAGAACGAGTATGACCGGCTGACCTGGTAAGAATTGCCAGGGCAAGCTAGGGAGGGCTTATGGGTGGGGGGCCTAGCCTCCCAATGAATAGGACGTTTCTAATGATGTAACCATTTATCAGTTTGCAAACATCTTTTGATTTGGAAAGAGCTGGGTTTCCTAACATTTAGCAAGTGGCTTCCATGGCAAGGAAGTAGACAAATGCTCAGTTTCTTAACCCAAGCTCTTTCTAGCTTTCAATTCTTACCCTTTGACTTTTCTGGTGAAGAAGTCCTCCCACTATAGCCCTATTCATGCTGGATCTCTTGCCACAGATGTGGCTGAGTCCTTTAGATCCAACCTACTCCGAAGTGTGGATCCTATTTCCAGGCTAGAAAGGAGACTTTTTGCCACTGTTCCTCACCCCATTCAAACAATGAACTGCCTTCTTTTCTGCATCTGTGTCATAACCTGAAAGTGTATCCCTCCTTTATAGCCCTATCATACCTGTTAGTCTGTTTCCACTTAGGCTAGTCATAGGGCTATGAGACTTTTGGGGATGAATCTGAGTGTTCCTAGCCTGAAGGAACTAGGACAATTTTACTAAGAACCATCCAGGGAAGGGGTGGAAAATTCTGACACCTTCTTACCACCACCAGGCCCTCTGTCCTGGACAGCTTTGCCTTGCTTTCTGGACAGTTAAACACTCTGAACAAGGTCTTGAAGCATGAAAAAACACCGCTGTTCCGTAACCAGGTCATCATCCCTCTGGTGTTGTCTCCAGACCGAGATGAAGATCTCATGGTAAGAGGAGAAAAAGAATACAACTTGGGAAATTAAGGGGTTTTTTAGGCTTCTTTAGTATTTAGGGAAATTACTTGTTGGGAGCCTAGAAATAATTTTGGAGGCCTTGCTTTTTTGCTCTGCTGAAGGTGGGAGAGCCACTCCCAAATAGTCATAACCTGAAGGGTATGTCACCAAGGCTGATACCTTTCTTCTCCAACATCTATCTCAAGCCACAAAGTCTATCCTTTTGTGACTTTGTCTATTGCAGTCTTTGAAACGTGGCAGACAGCAATAGTTTAATTCGTCCCTAGGTCTGGTAGAGATAGGGATGTGAGAAGACAAAAAATGAAGGATAGAATAAAGGAGAGTGTGTTCTAGAAGCTAGATATTATGTCTCAGGTTGTATTTTCCCTGAAAATGCACTGTTTGCCTGTGGATAGGACTGTATATCAGGCCAGATAGAATCTTCTTGGATCGCATAGTAGGATCAATAAAATCTGTGTGTTACAGCGGCAGACTGAAGGACGGGTGCCCGTTTTCAGCCATGAGGTAGTCCCGGACCATCTGAGAACCAAGCCTGACCCTGAGGTGGAAGAGCAGGAGAAGCAACTGACGACAGATGCTGCCCGCATTGGTACAGATGCAGCCCAGGTTGGACTGAGTCACTGCCTTGCTGCCCCATCCCCATTCCATCATGAGAAGCTAGGCATTACCATTCCTGTCTAGTAGGGATGCATAGTTGGCTGCACCTAAGTTGCTTCTGGCAGAGCACAAGGAATAAATTTCTCCATATCTTTTCCTACTTACCCTAATCGCTGCACAAAATTGTGTGTTACAGAAGCAGATCCAGAGCTTGAATAAAATGTGTTCAAACCTTCTGGAGAAAATCAGCAAAGAGGAGCGAGAATCAGAGAGTGGAGGTATGGTGGGACTGGTGGCAAAACAGAGAAGGAGAGGTGTATAAGATCACTGGAATAGGAATGGTGATTTGGGGAGTAGTGAAATTAGAACTCAAGAGTGAACTGCTTAGGAAGGGATTTGCATCCATTCTGTTAGCCTTTTGTATTTAAAGCCAGCCCTGAAGCAGGTGGAGGAAATGGGCAAAATAAGAAGAGAGAATTCTGAGATAGGCTTGGGAGTCCTCTGCCTCTTTTTCTGGGCTGTGAGGGAGTCTAGATGCTGCTGAATTCAGAACTCCAAACCCTGGCACTCATACTGGTCTTCCAGCTGCCAGTTCAGTCCTGCATCAGAGGCATACTTCAGGATCCTCACTTACTTTTTCTTTAGGTCTCCGTCCGAACAAGCAGACCTTTAACCCTACAGACACTAATGCCTTGGTGGCAGCTGTTGCCTTTGGGAAAGGACTGTCTAATTGGAGACCTTCAGGCAGCAGCGGTCCTGGCCAGCCAGGCCAGCCAGGAGCTGGGACAATCCTTGCAGGAACCTCAGGATTACAGCAGGTGCAGATGGCAGGAGCTCCAAGCCAGCAGCAGCCAATGCTCAGTGGGGTACAAATGGCTCCAGCAGGTCAACCAGGTAAGGTGGCAGGCGTTGAAATGAGGCTGACTTTGAGCAGGGGAGTGGGAATAAGCTAGATTATCTGGGCCTCCAGCATCTCTAGACCTAGAAGTTTTCTCCATTTCTCCTTTGCACTGTGACCCAGGATATAATTTTCAGAAGTAAAAATCTCGTCTAAGACTGCAATGGGCACCAGAGAGTGAGGAAGAACTTTGAGTAACAGAAACTGCTTTCATTTCTCATCCCCATCTCACATCTCTGTGTCAACTATCCTTCTGTCCAATTTATTCTGATATTAGATGTGTTGTCAGTGTCTCTTCTTAGGTAGAGAAATCAGTGGTCAGATCTTAATCGAGACCATTGGTAGGTGCCTCAGGAATTGACAAGCAGGCCAGCTTCCCAGTCCTACATGTATTCTTTTCTCTGTATCCTGCCTTTCTTGCTCTTGGCTTCCTGCCTTCTCTCCTACTCATTTTTAGAACAATCTAGATGCAGGCAGCTAGAAGAGTTACTTCCTCAGGCTGTCTAGGAAAAGGGACAATTAAAACAAAGAGAGATTCTGCAGTTCTTACAATGTAAAAAAAAACAATGAGAGAGCATGGTACTCTTTTACCTGTGACATTAAATGGGGGTCACACAGGTTTAGCTATCTCTTCTAGGAGTGGATGAGCAGACTGTTCTTCCATATCACTTCTTTCCTCCTGGACACCTTCAGGGAGAGAGCTGGGTGAAGAACTATACCTCTGAACTCTGCCAGACAGGGTCAGATGTCACAGAGGTTCTGAGATGATAGAGGAGGTGACAGAAGGAGCCTGAGATTACCACATTTCTGATTTGTCGTGAAAGTCTTACCTTGCTTGAGATGTCTTTTTTCATGTTCCTTTCAGGGAAAATGCCAAGTGGAATAAAAACCAACATCAAGTCGGCTTCAATGCATCCCTACCAGCGGTGAGTGTGGCTGGCAACCTCGACTCCCTGGTGCTCTTTGCAGAGCTGGGCAGTGAAATTACCTTTTGCTCAAGGCCCACCTAGATGGGTACAATAAAAAGAACATGAGCTTTCAGCAACAGACAAATCCCACCTCCACCACTGACTAGCTGTGTGACCTTGGACAGTGACCTAATTTTTCTGAGCTTGTTTTCTCATTTGTAAATGGTGATAATACCTACCTCATAGGGTTGTTGTGAGGATTAAAATGAGGAAATGAATGTGAAGTGCTTAGCATAGTATATGAAATAATGGGTATTCAATAAATGATAGTTTCTGTAGCTACTTCTCCCCACCACCCTCCATAGTCCTTGATCCAGAACTTACCCTGATCTGATACTGCCTAATGTCAATGGTGAACTGATGGACACAAGATCAAATAAGGCTATGCTTATTTTGTGCTTCCAGAAACTGTAGCAACTCTGTGTTCTTAGAGGCACACTGTCTTTGCAGGCCCTCCTGCCCGGGTTTCATCCTGGCTATCCCTCTAAGGTGCAGGTGAAGAAGCTTCTGGGCCAGGGGGAAAAAAAGTGCCCATCTACAGCTCTGGTGAAACTTGGGCCTCCTCTTCTTTCTATCCTCTGAGAAGCCAACAAACACAGCTCTTACCTGGCAAATAGTCACAAAGTCCTCTATCCTTTACCCCACCCTGTACACACGAGGCCTTCTCAGGAAGTGGCTCTGCCAGGCAGGACTATGTGGGAAAGCATTTTTCCTTAGCACATGAAAAGCCCCTTCCCCTAGACTCATGGTTCTTATTTCGGAGGGAGAAGAGAATTGCACTTCACACTGCCATCAGGGTTTAGCTGACCTCAAAATAGTGCCCAGTTCCTTGACTCTGCCCAGGATGGCTTTCCTTCATTTTCCTAAGCCTGTGGCCCAAATCGTGGACCAGATTGATGGTGGGAAGTGGGGCAACCCCCAGTAACTTTGCCTGCTTTTATATAGTTGAACAAAGTGAATTTAGACATTTAGGCTAACCTGCCTTTCTTAGTACTCCTTTGTCAGCATGGGCAGGGGCTGAGTCAGCAAAAGTGGACCAAAGGTTTCCTCTGAATAAAGTTATTTAAATTGATGTTCACTGGCTCAGGGTTGTCTGACAGTAATTTATGAAAGCACTACATAGGGATCAGAGGCAATTTCAAGAGTGCTGCAAGGCAGTTCTAATTTGTTCTCCATAAAAAAGTTTCCATATCTTTAATTAGCTTTGATCCGAAAATCCTGCGACTTCCCTCCTGCTCATACCTTCCAGCTGCCTTTTTTCTGTTCTCTTCTGTCACACACTGGTACTTTGGCATTTGTTCAGTGCCAAATGAAGTTCTGCCAGGCTGTGGCAGCAAAGGACTAGAAAAGTGGTCCCAGATGTCAACATCTGTTACCATTCCATCAAGACAAGAAACGGTATCCACATAGCTCACTGACCACAATACATAGCAGCAGGGGAGTCCGGTCATCAGCTCTGAGGCAATGCCAGACTTTTCCCCCACTTAAACTGTTCCGCCTCATCAGCCCTCTCAGGTGTTCTTTATCTTCTCACCTCTTCCCTTCCCACTGGAAATGTCAGAGCTAACTGGCATATTGGGTAGAGTTTAAGCTGTGCTTCTCTGAAACCCCTGGAGCATCTTTTGGTGACTATTGTCCTTTACTCCACCAAAAGATTCCCTCCTATTGAATGGCACCAACCCCAAGTTTTTCTGTGTCCCAGGCTAATACTGACTTTATTTCCACCATACTATTAGAATGGATTCCTTGTTATCCAAGAATGGAAATGTCCTCTTGCCCCAACAGGCCGAGGATATGCAGGATATCACCTACATCTTGTGACCCTAAGCAAACACTTCTTCCTCTACAGGGACTCCTCTACATTCATCGCTGCAGGAGCACGTGCTCTCATTTTTATCCCCCAATCCTCAAAAAAATTATCTGGAGTACACCTCAGTAGTGTCTCCTACTTTGGGGTCTATACAGCCTAGTAAATGCCTCAATAGAGTATGTATGTATCTCCCACCCCTAACACACTCATTCCCTCAGGAGGGAATACATACAGAATTTCCTTTGAGGAAAGGGGCATGACCTACTTACTGGCTCAGATTTAGGATTTACAAAATGTGACTGTTGGCCTACTGTGGTAACATTCCTGTTTTTGACTGCTCTGTTTTGCTTGGAGATCGTGCTTTCTCCTACTTTTGGGTGTCCTGGAGAAAGAGATTAGGCCGTTGTCTCCTAGGTTTGTGTCTAGGATGGAGAAAGAAGCAGCAGCTGTGAAACCTCAAGAACTTACAACAGCACAGAGTTCATCCTGCTGAGGGTGGAAGCTTATCCAATCAATGTCAGCATAAGGCCCATTGCCTAGGACCTCTCCCTCTCCAGCTCTGCCCTGAGCCTGGGATTCAGTCATTGCTGAATCTCTCTTTTGCTTATTGTGCTAATCACCCCATTCTGTTCCCCTTCTGGTGTCTATTGCTGCCCTACTTAGCTGGTGCACTTCACTCAACCCTGTTGTTTTTTTGGGAAACAGCCAAGATAGATAGGTTATAGCCAAGTGCTCCTTACAACTCCATAATGGGTCCCAGCATTAAGATTGAGCTGGAGGGAGTATAATTGCCTACCTCCTGTCGTGCTGCCACAGAGAAGAAGCTGAACTCTGCAGGAATGCCCCAGTGCAAGGCTGGTCCCTTTTCCCACCCCCTTCACACCTCCCCCAGGCAGCTGGAAACAACCTCTCCCTTTGTCTGAGCTTCTTGTACAGAATAATCCTCCTTATGGACAATGTATTCTCTGTGCCCTGTGGACACAGGAGCTGTGTAAGCTGATCCCAGCACCAGGCAGGACGGAGGCTGAGTCCGTCCAAACGCCCACCCTGGGTCAGCTCCTGGTTACTGTCCAGATGAACTATGCAGGGGTGTACATTCTCTTCCATCTGCCTTTCCTATCTGCTCCAGAATTGGGGGAATGGCCTACTGAAGTTTAGCATTGGGCCAGGAGTAGGAACAGGGGCTATGGTCCTTTTCTGTTCAGTCTTGAGGTTTCACAGTGCCTACCTATGGAGGCTCGATATGGCCCTTGCCTGGAAACACACACATGAAGATTAACCCTTGGAAAGGCCTTGCCACTGTGCAGATGGGGCTTTCTAACCGGAACAGAAGGCAAACTCCAACCTATCTTAGGGGACCATGGGGCCCCATCACTTCAGCTGTGTTTTGTCCCACAGGGCAAAGTTCCTTTCTTCTTCCTTTTAACTTCTCTCTCTTGTTTTTGAGCTCCCATGTGTCACTGAGGCAGCTCTTGGGTTCCTGTTGCAGTCTCTCAATGAGTCACATGCCATTTGGGCATGGCTGCTTCCCTAAGTACATCATGGACAAGGCATCTCACTTCCCTGAGCCTCAGTTTTCTCACTTGGTGATCCCAGTGATTTTAGGTCTAAAGTCTGTGGCAGTGATTTTCAAACCCATTTATCCCCAGGCATTTTGTTTTGTTTTGTTTTCCTTGGTGCATGACTGTTACACAGATAGGCCAAATTTTTCCTAGGTCAGCCCCCAAGTCCCTCAAATTCCTATAAACTATTCCTCAGATTCCCTCTCTGTCACCTAAAACTTAACATACCAACATCCTTCTAGACAACAACCTTGAAACTGTTTTCTAAAACATCTTTCTTTAAGATTCATCAAAGAGATGGTAAGTTACCACAGTTATCAGAAGTTACAATTCTGACATATGTTGTGTGTTAGAAGTCACCTTCCCTCTCTCAGACATCTCTCTCCTTGGGCAAGATATATGTACCAAAGACTTCTCCAGCATGGGTGACAAATTATGCTTTTCCTTTCCTACTGAATCAAATATAAAGTGCCATGGGATGCTCGCTTTCCTGTGTTTTCTCTGCCATTCTACTGCTTTCCCTAATTATCACCCTAATTTCCCTAGTTTGTGGTCATTTTGATTCTTTATCTTTTCTTGCCCACATTCCCCATGTAGACATCCTTTGTTCTTTTTCTTTTCTTTTTTTTTTGAGACAGAGTCTCACTCTGTCACCCAGGCTTGAGTGCAGTGGCACGATCACAGCTCACTGTGATCGTGCCACTCAAGTGATCCTCCCACCTCTCAGCCTCCTGGGTAGCTGGGACCACAGGCATGTGCCACCATGCCCAGCTGATTTTTAAATTATCATTATTATTATTATTATTTTGCAGGCAAAGGTAGTTTTATTCCTTCCTTCTCAATCTGTATATGTTTAATTTTCTTCTCTTGTTTTATTGCACTAGCTAGGACTTCCAGTGCAATGTTGGAAAGCAGGAATGATTGGGGATACCCTTGCTTCTTTTTAAATCTTAATGGGAAAGCTTCTAGTTTCTCCCCATTAAGTATGATGTTAGCTGTAGGGTTTTTTTTTTATTGCATTTTAGGTTTTGGGGTACATGTGAAGAACATGCAAGATTGTTGCATAGGTACACACATGGCAGCGTGATTTGCTGCCTTCCTCCCCTTCACCTATATCTGGCATTTCTCCCCATGCTATCTCTCCCCAACTCCCCACCCCCCGCTGTCCCTCTCCTATTTCCCCACAACAGACCCTAGTGTGTGATGCTCCCCTCCCTGTGTCCATGTTTTCTCATTGTTCAACGCCCGCCTATGAGGGAGAACATGCAGTGTTTGATTTTCTGTTCTTGTGTCAGTTTGCTGAGAATGATGGTTTCCAGTTTCATCCATGTCCCTACAAAGGACATGAACTCATCGTTTTTGATGGCTGCGGGAGTGTAAATTAGTTCAACCATTGTGGAAGACAGTGTGGCGATTCCATAAGGACCTAGAAATAGAAATTCCATTTGACCCATCAATCCCATTACTGGGTATATACCCAAAGGATTATAAATCGTTCTACCATAAGGACACATGCACACGAATGTTCATTGCAGCACTGTTTACAATAGCAAAGACCTGGAACCGACCCAAATGCCCATCGATGATAGACTGGACAGGGAAAATGTGGCACATATACATCATGAAATACTATGCAGCCATCAAATTATTACTGTTTTTAATAGAGATGGGGTCTCCATGTTGCCCAGGCTGGTCTCAATCCTCCCACCTCCGCCTCCCAAAGTCTGGGTGTGACCCACCACACCCAACCTTATCCTTTGTAGCCCATTTTCTCTGGCCTACATTTCATGGCCCTAGATAGTGCCATTTTAGTGTCTCTTCCATGTTAAAAGATCCTTCTTGACCCTACATGCCCTTGCACTGACTCATTCACAGCCATGCTCTTTAAATAAAGTGCTTAGAGTCAGTTTTTTCTTTTACTTCCCATTCACTTTTCAGCCCCTGTGTTTGGGCTTCTACTTCCACCATTCCTCAGAAACTCAGAGATCACTGCTGACCTAATGGCTACATTCAGAGTTTTTTCAATCCTCAGTATATTAATGTATCTGCAGCATTTAACAATGCTGATCATTTCCCTTAGTCTCTTTCTCCCCCATGGTTTCTATGGCACATGCTCTCCTTGTTCATTCCGCTCTCTAGCCATTCCTTCTCTGCAGCTTTTGGACTTTTATACTTCTGTCTGCTTCTTAAATGTTATTCTCTAGGACTTGCCCTTAACCATCTTTTCTTTTTATTCTACCTGCTTTCTCTGTGACCACCACTTTTATGTACATAACATAGGCAAGTTTTATTTTCAGCTCAGACCTCTTTGCTTTGCTGCAGATTCCTGGTGGATATCTCTACCTATATGATCCATAGCTGCTTGAATGTCTAAATCCAGTCATTCTAGCCTACACACCTGTTTCTCTTCTAAGCCAGGAATATAGGAACCATTCGAAACTATTCTCCCTCTAAGTCCCCAGCCCCCTCATACCTAATCAGATACTAAATCCTACCAATTCTGTCTTCCCAGTGTCCATCCACCCTTTCCTACAGTTTAGGCTCTGGGCCTCTCTCACTGAAAATATAGTTCAGACTCCGTATCTCCAGTCTTGTCTACTCTAACGCATCTTCCAAAAGGCTGTAGATAGGTATTTCTAAACTGCAGATCTGATCACATAACTCCCTGATTAAAATCCTTTATCTCCAGTCCTGCCCACTTTAACT